TTTTTATCCTGAAATAATTCAGGAAATTTTAATAATTTTAAAAAAGCCCTGAGTCATTATAATTGTTTTTTTATTTAATGCCTTATGTATTTTTCCAAATAACTACATCATATCGTTTCTGACAGCTATTTTATTCCTTTTTTATGCAATTAGAATAACTAACTTTCGTCATTTTGAAATAAGAGAAATATATTTAAATCATATTCCCAAACAATATCCTCAGGAGAAAAAAACCCCGATAGTTTTCTTATAGATCAATATCATTAAAACCCTTTTCCACAAAATAAGAAAGAATGCAAATACATCATTAATGATTATTATCGTCATCCATCTGAGGTTTTTTAAGCACGCCATAAAATGCAAAATACTTCTCACCAGTTTAATTCGAACTGAGGGTGCATTGTGTCCATGACAGTCATCTCCACAACAAAAACAGGAATTTCAAAAGGAAATTTAAAACTACATCAGCGTATGTGAAAACTTATTTCCATTGAGAATAGCATTCGTTACTGTAATTGCCAGGATCAAGTTATACAGTAAGAAACGAAAGGAAGTATGGAAAAAAAAAGGGAAAAAAGAAAAAAATTGAAGATAAGATGAATTGAAAAGGGGGACTGGATAAAAGGAGACGGTCTTTGAATGAACTTCTTTAAAGTTTTCGAAATCGAACACCCAGTGAAAGATATTGAAATCGGAGATTTTTATCACACACAGCTGAGACAGCATCGCATCATACCGGAGATCCATAAGTTAGAGAAGTATATTTTTTACGTCGCTGATAGACTTATTACGCTTCATCTTTTGATATTTTTTGAAGGAAAACTTTTTTTCACTTATTCCGTCCGTGTAGTTCGCTTTCCAGTTTACTTTTGAAAGCCGACTATAACACGGCAAAGAAACTTTTTCCGGAGCGATAGGCAAATGGAAACTTTGCAGGGCGGAAGAAGTGAGGAAGGATTTTTTTTCACCCTGATTTATTGCCAGTTTCGCTCTCTGGAAGTGCAATTTCTTTCGTCTTTTATGGAAGAAGAACTTAAAAATAGAACGATTTCGTTCAAAACAAAACGAAACAATACACAGGAAACGGAAGTTTCCACTAAAAATTAAATCCTGACTTTAAGTTATTGTTTCAAACAACTATGATAAATTGTTTCAAAAAGAAGTTTTAATTTGACAACATACCAGAACTTTTAGAAAACTCACTAACGTAATGTCAATCAAAATTTTTATTAAAGTTTTAAGATTCTGATATATTAACTTTAACAATGTAAAAAATATCTTAGATAAATTTATTATGTACGCAAAAAAATACTTTAGAGGCCAATTTAATTTAAATTTGTTGTTGAGCTAAAAATTTTTAACTTAAAAATACAATTATTCTACCCTTTATAATAGATTTTATATTGTAAGTAAGATTCTACTAACTTTCTTTTATCTTTATCATATACAAACATTGTATGTACAATGCAATTTATATACACATATATATATATATATATATATATATATATATATATAAACTGTATATGTAAAATTAGATATGCGCAGTGGCAAATCGATAATTGAAAACAAGACTTTAGTTATTAATATAAATATCTGTATATATTAATATACATATTATAGAACAAATGGAGCATATATACATTATAAGAAGTAAAAATAAAAAGTAAATTGCAAAATCCAAGTAAATTTTTCTATCATTTTTAGAGTAAATTTTATATTTCTAAATTAAAATATTTTAGTTATTTATTTTAAAACGATAATGCGCCGTAATAACCAATTTAAACTAATAAAGAAATTATTTAGTTAAGAATTTAAAAGAAACAGTTTATCTTGTAAAATTTCTAAAAAGTATGATTTATTACAATAACTTCCAAACCGTTTAAAATTAAACACAAAAATATTTACAGTTTTTTTTATAAGATATCTTTGTTGGATATAAGATATACATAAGATTATACACAAAATATAATAATAATAATTTATAATTTATAATAATTTATACATAAAATAAACTTCTGGATAATTTTTATGAATATGTTGCCGTAAATTTATATACAAAAATTGAAATTTATATTTTTTTCAAGTTTCCTATTTATGCATTTTTATATAAACTATTTTCATTGATCAAAAGACGTAAAAATTTATCATTAGAAATGGTCAGGTTCTCAATAACTGACAAAAATTTATTTCTTTCGCTTATGGGAGACCCGTATTTATGGAGACTATGGAGAATGATAATTATAGATTCTCCATAATCTCCATATTGATATATATATTTTTTGTTTAGTTGTTGTTTCTTATCCCACTTGGCTGGCCAAGCCCACGAGCCCATATGGACCCATGATTGAAGGGGAAGGAAGCAGCTTCTGTTGTGATGGAGCACCCGTAGGTAGAAGCCTGACTTTTGCTCCGTGACGCACTTACAGTCATAGAAGACCGGGACCTACGGCTTAAAGTGGATTCCGAACCACTACAAACATCCATGGCACCGCCGGGATTCGAACCCGAAACCTGTGGCACCGAGCGCCAGAGCGCTAGACATTCGGCCATTCAGGTCCCAATTTTGCCAACGGCACGCAGTGTTCCCAGGTGGTCACCCACCCAAGTACTGACCGCGCCCAATGATGCCTAACTTCGGTGATCTAACGAGAACCGGTATATTCAGCATGGTACGGCCGTAGGCATATATATATATATATATATATATATATATATATATATATATATATATATGCATATATATGTGTCCAGATATATATCTCCAGATTGATATCTGTGGAGAACTATCATGACACTATGGACATGGAGTAATTATGGAGACCATAATAATCCCTTAATCTACACAATCATTTGTTACATTATTATAAAAAAGTTCATCTTGATTAGGGTGTTGAATTAATTGATTTAATACGCTTTACAATGCTCAGAGAGTAGAAATATTTTCATTTAAATAGATTTTTATACTCCCTTTTGGTCCAAGTATACTCCTTTTCCCCCAAGTCCTGAAGTTGCTTAAACAAAAATTTTGAATAACTTCACTTCTATCCCCAGAAAAAGTTTTTTATGGGAAAAAAATTAAACAAAACATTATTCACAACCAGCAGTAATTTTAATTTTTTCAGGTACTTTATACGTTTAAATTAACTACATAATTTCATATGTATATTTTTCTTTATATATGATTTTGTCAATACCTAGTATGAAATTATGATACTGCATCAATTGGAGACTAATGATATAAATCCTGTTTAATTAACAAAAAATTGACACATTCAAACTGAAGTTCATCTTGTAGTTTATATAAATCATTCGGAATAGCAGGATATAATATTACATAAACTTAATTGGAAGAACTAGCGAAGGAGAGAAAGTCCAGGCTTAAATCGTGTCTAATTAATAAAAAAATTACACATGTAAATTGAAATTCCTCTTCTATTTTGTATAAATTATTCGGAATAGTAAGTAATATTACATAAATTTAATTGGAAGATTTTTTACTGAAGAAGCAAACACAATATTGTGTAAAAAAAAATCTTCGTTTTTATCACTTTATGCAAATTTATTTGGCATTCATTTATTAACATAAGCAATTATGCCATCATTATTAAATTTTTCTAATTCCCTTAGTTCTTCATAATAGAATAATAAGAATCGAAGTCCAAAAGCACATCTTTAGATTAGATAGCATCCCTGGATGTCGTTAATAAACACGTCGATCAGCTAATGTGATGGCGAACAGGATTATCTCTTTACAAGCAAGCTAATTCAATCAATCGATCGACTCTACGTGATAATACTGCTGATTCTGACAGACGTATGGCATTGAGACTTGTTGGCTCTTGCACGTCAGGCCATAATGCGTTTGTCACTTTGTTTTTGTTCTTGCCTTTTAGAAATATAGCCCTTCTATGCAAATTTTAAAGTAACGTGGAATCTCTGCATTGCCTTTCCTGAAAATGTTTTGCTGGCAGATAAGTTGTTGATGAATAATGTCAAAATAATTTTGCTTTATATTAAATGTTTATTTAATGTATAAATGTTACACATAAAAATATATTTTTTTCCTTTTAATTTTTGTTTGTATTTTTATGTGCAGAGCCACAGTTCGATTTGTACAATATTTTATTAATCTAGTATTTTCTATATTGGTTATATCTTGGAAATTTGCGGACTTAAAGCAAGATCTAATAAAATCTTAACATAATATTTGTCTTTTCTTAATAGTAACTATTTAAAATGATAAAGTATAATAACTTTCAGGCATTGGTCTTTTTATCTAGTTTTGTCAAACGTGGTTTGGCACCCTAAAAAGAAACACCAGGAATTCCTTTCTTTTGCATTATAGGAAGCAATTATGACAGAAAAAAGTAATATACATTTGGAAGTTTGACAGTTAACAACAAATTTTTTTTATTCAATCCAGTAATTTATGAATTACTGGATTGAATAAAAAAATTAAATATATCTGAATGCGAAAAATATTATGGGAAATTATTTTTGAACTGGATAAAAAAATGAAAAACATACATAAACATTTCCCCGATCTTCCTCGCGATGCACGGGAATCTTTAGTTTTTACCAAACTTGCTTCAAGTCATCTATGACTATTATTAAAGGTTTCTGAGCTTTCTCGAATTTTAGAGAAATGACATTGCATGCGGGGTTCATCCTATGTTTGTAATGACCCATTTCGTTGAGAGTTGCTCTTTTATTTGACTCAGGCTCGGTACCTTGAACGGTTTCCACAAATTTCTTTTTTTAGTAATATTATTTCAACGTCTTCTATCCATCTTATCGAAGTGTCACAATCACTTCCGTGAAGATTTTATAAGTATTATCGGATATTCGGTCCTATCAATGGTTTAATTGGTTATTGTGCATTAAAATCCTTTCAACTACAATTATTCTCTGTTGATTGTACACATAACCCTTGACTGTACCCTTTTTCTAATTGATTGCAGTAGTAGTAGAATGAAAATTAACACAACTGTATAAGAAAAAAATCACAATTTATTATTTCCATCAACTTTTTATATATACAAGCAAAAAAAGTTATAACCAATTAACAAAATATAATAAACGATAGCACTACTCATTAAATACCCTTAACGCATGTCCGGTCAAATTCACCTTGATCTCAATATTGTTTAAGCAGGCCTCCTAGAATACTACAGCGGCCTGATGTCATTTAGCATCACAGGCTTCAGGTTAGAATCCTGGCGGTGTCATGGATGTTTGTGAGTGGTTCAAAATCCACTTTAAACTGTAGGTTGCAGTCTGCTTAGACCTCGCGAGCACAAGATGACCGTAGAGCGACAAACCAACCTACCTCGAATTCTACTACCAGCACCACATCAGCAGCGATGTATAGACATCTAGAGAAGCGTGATATAGTATAAACAAACCTTAATCCTAATAAGTACGTTGGAAAACTGGGATATACATGTTTCATAATGAAAATAACACACATTTTTGAATAGGATTAATAATATTTAATATTATTTATAAAAATTAAAATACGTGATGCAAATGAAAATATAACAGATAAAACATTGCTTGACACTTAACCTTGTGGACGTTTTTAATGTTTTCGTCTGTAACAGCCTCTTTGGGGCGTCCACTGCGTGCATCGTCCTCGGTGCTCATTTCACCTCGTTTAAATTTAGCAAACCCCTTCTCTACGGTTCCTTTTCATGGTGCAAAGTCCGAATAATGTTTATCAAGCCAAGCCTTGGCTTCAATAGTATTTTTTTTTCGCCAAAAGGCAATACTTTATTAACACACGAAATTCCTTTTTATCCAATTTTTTCAAACTAACAAAAGTTGCTTCACTAAAAATGCTATAACTCACATACTAATAGTGCAACAGCTGTAAAATTTATACACGTGTCTTTTGAAGCTTAGGGCTAACTAAAAATCATATTTATTTAATACTAGTAGCGCCATCTATGTGTCAGCTTACGAACATTTTAGCCCACCTATTAATCTGTTTCCAATTCTAGTCGGTATTTATATACTTTTTTCTGTTTAATAAAAGTAAGTAATTAATAATTTATTCATGTCATCATTTTATGGACTTTCAGATCTTTAAATCGTGTCTTTGAAGTAATTAATCTTCTTTTTTTTTCCTTACAAAAAATTTGAAATGCTATTAAGTTGTTTAGCTTAAAATTAAAAAAAAAAGTAATACATATTATGATGACATGGATTTTACATTAAATTTAATTTTTTCATTATGTATTTAAGAAGTGTGTAATCCAATAATAAATTTTTTTATAAAATTTTTAGTACCAATTTTTTTTATTTAGATGTGTTTATTTTATAACATAAATATAATATATACAAAAAAACATAATAATAAGTTTAAAAATTATAATATAACACTATTTTGCAATTAATCTGTTTTCCATTCTAATTGGCATTTTTATCAATATTTAAACAGCTTCTGCTTCTTAAATTATGTAAATAACTTAAATACTGTCAAATCAAAATGTCAACAATATATGACTCAATAATAATCATGACTTTAAAGTGATAAATCATCTTTGTTCTCTGAATGAAAAAAAGTTTTTAAATTTTATACCTTGAAACAAATATATATATATTAGAATAATAATACTATAATAATGACATTTTTAAATCAAATATAAATGCTTTATTATATTTAAGAAATGAGTAATAATAAAATGTTTTATTTACATGCTTTTATCTTATAGCCTAATAATCATTAATTGCCTTAATGCCAATTGAACTTTAAAATAACATTTTTATTACTTTTATATATTAAATAAATATAATTTACCATTTATGTATTAAATGTTTACATTTATATATAAGCTATTATAATATTCATTTGTATTTATAAATTTTAATAAATAGTGAAGCTGTTATAAGATTCAGAAATAAATAATTTCTCAATATCCCTAATAAAATTGTATATCTTTTAATATTAGATGGTAGAATGAACATCATAACATGAACCGAACGATCAAATTATTTAAACACCTTCTTTTTAAGAATAATTATTTATTTGTTTTTATATCTTATTACCTCATTAAGCAGTAAATTAATTCTTACAAATATATTAATTATAAATAAGCAAATAGAAATTATATAGAACTGTTCAATAACAAAATAATCATTAATAACAATTCAGTTCGTGTAAAATTGATATTTTCTCTTGCAGTTTTAATTTAAAATAATCATACAGAAATCGTCTTTTTTATTTTATCTTTGATCTTTCCAGTAAATCCTCTTTTGTCATTCTGGTAAAAATAATACATAATAAATATTAAATCCAGATAATCTTTGAATCTTTTATTTCTGGAATTTTACTGCCATTTCAACAATTCTTAATTGCTCTCGAATTCTCTTTGAAGACCTTCTTTCAAATACCAGCCATTATAAAAAATGTTATGAGTAAAATATTTTCTTGTTTTCCATTTTATTTTGTTTTTCATGTTTCGATTGGTTTAGCAGATTCATTTTAAACTTGTTTCGAATCAATCAGAGAAACAAAACCTTTCTTTTGTCTTCATCAAATTATTGCTATTGTTTTTATCTTTCAGCTCTCTAATGTTCAATAACTACCAAAGTTTTTTCAATAATAATCCGTTTGTTTTGTTTGTTTACGTTTGATTTTTCTGCCTTAGATACTAAACAAAAGTTTTCTGAAATAGGA